TTACGATTTATAAAATAAATTTCTTCAAGTATCATAAATCATAACTTCCCAAAATTTCATGTAACAAATTTTACTAAAATAAATAATAAAATAACAAATTAAATAATTATCAAATTTCATATAATAAACTGTAATATATTCAACAACAAATTTCTCCAAATTTTTCATCATATTTTCCTAAATTTATAATAACATAATAATATGTTAAATTCACCGCTAAATTTCTCAAATTTCAAACACGATTAAAAATTTCATTAAAATCGTTTCTAACGTTAATCTCAAAGGTATGCAACGTGGAAAATGAAAAACGGCAATAAAAACCGTTGCGTGTCGTTGCAAAATACCGTTGCGTTCATTCCAGCGAAAAAATTGCGTCGAGCACGGTCGTTGTGTCGCTCGCGACCGGGCATTAAATTTGTATCGCGATTAACATCGTTTAACATTCAATATATAATATTGTTATGTAACGTCGAATGCAGAAGCCACGGAGTGCAACGTCCTCGTAATTACTCAACGACGTTTGGTCACTCGGAATCATCATTTTTTTTTACGATACCCACGCAACGTTTCACCAACGCACACGTGGAAATAGAGGTTGACCTATACAGGTAATTTCACTTATTAGCTAATTCACCAATTTCACCACTTTTAATACGAGGCTCTCTGTACCCGAACTGGAATAGCCAGAACTTCTTACTTTCTTTTCCAATTGTCGGTTTCGTAATTACCTTACACGTCAGATACCATATTTCTTATCTTCTGTAGATCTACAAACAAAAATTTCATCGTCCCAATGTGATCTCTTATTAGAGCCCGGTACATTCATAAACTCGATGGCTCATCGTGCACTGCCAAGGAAAAGGTTACTTAACCTTTCTTTTCCAAATTTAATACCACACATACTTTTATGCTCACATTATTTCCTTTAAGTGCTCCTAGCTTTATAAATTAAAATATAGGAAGAAGAGATTCTAGAAAGGTTCTAGAACTTTAAGAGAATAACAGATCCTAGGAAAATTGGGATCTAGTAAAATCATAGATAGAATCTTAAATTTTGTTTTTGGTGAAATTGTAGAAAAAAGTAAGGACAGTCTTTGGAGATGTTACGAGAAGATTCTAAGGCGAATCTAAAAAAATTCAGAAATTTCTAAAGTTCAGAAAATGTTTAGGGAGAGCTATAGTTCTCAGTTTTGGAAGTTTCTAATTTTTTAGAAAGAATCAACAGAACCGAAGAAACTAGGAAAAATTTAAATGAATTTGATATTTTAACCTTAAATAAAGCCTAAAAAAGTCCATAATCTTAAAAAAGTCTTAAAACAAAATTTTCTAAAAATCTAAAAGGTAACAACAAATAAATTACTTAAAAATATAACATCATAAATAGCCAAAAATTCCAGAACTTGTAGCCTCTATCAGTTATTTCAAAATGTACAAGTGTTACAAAATAGAAAATATGGAAATGATATTTCCACACTATCCCTTCATTTAACTCAAAAGTTATGTTATTGAATTAAGAGATGTTCATTCATTAAATTATGCGGCTGGATCAGTGAAAGTATCAAAAGATACTTTATGTTTATTAATGCGTTTGTGTCACTGCGATCGAAATCACTTTCGCAATTGTCAAATTTTGTAACAGTGATTGACTAAACATATGTGGAATAAAGTGGCCATAAACGGTTCGCGTTGAATCTTATAATTTATCGTAACGTTACAACAAATTTCCTGCATTTTGAAGGATACTTTCTAATCTCTGAAGGGATCTTTGTTTCCATGAATGTACGATTCCGTAAAAAAAGGCAAATGCATGAAACAACAATAGCATACATCATCCACGTTTATCTTAGCATTCGGTCTGTGAATACTGTTTAATAACTGGTTTTTAATATCCTGCTCGTCATAACCTCTGATTATGTAGATCTTCAGATAACCAGACTTGTTTCCATGGAATCATCTTCAAGAATTCCGGGTTATTTGCATCTACAGTTGCAACAAATACGTTTCCGTGTGCCTGATTGCGTCGATGCATGTTTCGACAACAACCTTGATCATTGTGCAAACAAACTATTCCATAAGTGAAAATAGTCAAGATTATATTGTTATCTTATCTGGTAATGTTGCTTGAAATAATCGCATGTTTATTTGCACAGATGACTGACCTTTATATTATATCATTAATTTTCGAACGAAATTTTCAGTGAAATAAAATGAAAAGTTATTTGAGTATATGTAATTCAAATGATTTACACGTTAAATTAAATTTAATTATGTTATTTACAAAATAAAAATAATAAAGAATTTTTAATGATTATTTTTTGTCTTGTTTCAAATAAAATGTATCTACACTAAGAAAATTTATGTATTAAAAGATTCTTTTGCAATGAAGTATATTTAAAAAGTATCAAGCTTGAAATACATTAAGAAGTACTTGGATAACTTTAGTATTACCTCTGCCATTGTTTATATTTTTAAAAAGTCTGTAATCTTCCATGTGGACGATTAATTTTAACAGTTGATATAATAGTTAATAATAGTACTTACAGCTTTTTTCACATTTTAATAATATTAGTACTATAATTTCATATTTTTATAATCTTATAAGAAGTTTAAAAAATATAAAAAATACTTACATAGCCTTAATAATACCTCTATAATCTTCTATATTTTTATAAATTTTATTCTTTACAACATAATTTATGTATTATAGAAATAATACTATAATTTTACAATATTAGTACAGTAACATAATATTTTACATTCTTATGTTTACTTAACTCTAGGAAGTTTAAAAAATATGAAGTACTTATACAACCTCAATAAACCTAACCTAACCACAAATATGTCAGAAAAGATAAGATAAAAGTAGTTTGTTTGTCACAAGTCCACTTTCTTTATATTTTTATAAACATAATCTTCCACATACTCCATTAACTATATGAAAGCAAAATAACACATTCTTCTACATTTTTATAATATTAACAGTGCAATTTAATAATTGTACATTCTTATATTTACTTGAACATAAGATCAAAAAGTTTTAATAATACGTAATTGTATCACTAATACAAATCTGCAATTCATATCAATAATTTAATTTATTATTTTTAAACTTGTATAACTACATAAAAATCGATACTTCTGTTTAATTTTCAGCAAGGTCCATTGCTTGTAATTTCCAAGCCACAAAGTATGATCTATCAGCTCATCTTCCCACGACTAAGTGCATCGTGACAAACCCAGGCCTCGATGAATCGCGTTAAATTAATTAATTCAACGGTTAAGAGCGTTGCTCTCGTCGAAACAATGCGAGGTATGGTGAAAAAATGCCGCGAAATCTTTGTTCAGCTGGAAGGCTGCAGCGTAAAGATGGGTCAACCTTTCGCCTTGCGATTATGTAAGACCTCGGACTGACTGACCTTTAGGTTCGTTCATGGCATGCGGCATTTACGTAATTTACCGATTACGATGTATTAGACTCTTCTCTATGCCTAGAAAATAGTTCTCCTTCCCGTTCTAATATTTTTAAGCTACGCTAAATACTCCCTCCTTAAACGCGCCGCTCGGTGGTCGTCCTTTTAACCCTCGAGACTGTGACCGGGTCAATCGTGACCCAAAACTGCACAACATATGGCACACCTAGAAAATACAAACCTTTAAGATTCGATTTTGAATAAAAAAATATATCCATCTCGGAATTTTTCTGAGATGTAAATTTTCTGTCACTCTTGTTAGGGTTGCGTTCGTTCATCTTCTTCGAAAGTAGAAATCGTGTCGATCAGCCGCAACAATGTAAAATTCCTTCGCAAATGGAATACGCAACGCTTAAATTACGATGAACAGCAACCGTCAAACTAATAAGGTGTAAAAGTGGCCTGAAGAGAACACGTCCCCCTCCACTCCGCGTTCTCATAACAGCCGTTAATGAGTGTTACAGGTGTGCGTTACGGTGTACATCGTTTTCACGCACTTTTCACTGGTATTAACTCGAGATGCACGACAAAACGATTACGTCAGAAACGTCCGAGGGAGATCCACGCTCGTCCGAGAGGAGGGACCAGGAGTAGGGAGAGCCTGGATCTTCCTTGGACACCTCTGACATGATACTCTCTTACAGGGATTCACTAACGTTTATGGACTAAAACCCACTTTCCAAAATTGTATTTCGTGACATGTATGTTCGTCATGCAATACTTTTCGGAACTCCAACGTTCCATGATTTTGAAATTCTGATATCCGAGACAATAATTAAAAATTTTATAGTTTGGAAATTCAAATGTTTAAACATTGAATGATTCTGAAATTCTGAAATTTTAAAGTTCTAAGTTCCACTGTCTTAAATTTTCAAAATGTTACTTGGGTAAAATTTCAAAATTTCAAAACTCTAACATTCTAAATTTTTAAAGGTTCAAAATTCTGAAGTGTTGTAGTTTCAAAATTCTGAGGTTTAAAAATCTCCAAGTGCAAATTATGAAGTTCGAAATAGTTCAAATACAGAATATTGAAGTCTCAAAATCCCAAATTTCCAAAATTTCAAAATTTTAATGCTCCGACTTAAAAAATTCCAAGTTCCCAAAGTTCTAAAATTCAAAAGTTCTTAATTCCCAGTTTCAAAATTAAAAAGTTCAAAATTTCTAAATTCCCAAAATTCGCAAAACTGTAAAATTCAATAATTTCGCAATTTCAGAATTCCAAATATTTAAGCATCCACAATTTTAAAGCTCCTAAGTACGATAGTTCAAAAATTTCTAAAATCCCAAAATTCCAATGTTTCGAAAAAAGTCCCAAAATTAAAAAATGTCAAAAATTCCAATATCACAAAGTTTAAACAAATTTTAAATTCCAATATTTCAGTTCCAAAGAAAAAATAAATTTTGTAAATTCTATATAAAGATAACGCGGTATTATGAAATATCTAATTTATTGATATGATAAATATGAGTCAATCTTGATATTTGATTATCAATCTTCATATATGATTATTATTTGAAATCTTAATACATGGCGACATCTACAAGCATTAAAACTTTAATGCTTTTCAGTCTTTAACGCCACTCTGTTTGAAACGTGTATTAAATAAAAATTGACTGGATATTGTTGAAAATAACAAAAGATTGTAGCACTTTATCCAAATTGTTAAAAATCTTATTTGTATTTTTCTTGATTATTTAATTTATCTATTAAAATAATGTTAGAGCAAACAATAGAAGCCTTAACCAAAAGCAGAGTAATATTAGCTAGTGGATCTCCTCGACGACATGAAATAATACAAAAATTGGTAATCCTTGTTGTTCCATGAAGAAATTTAGTGTTATAGAAATAAAAAATATATTTTATGCATATAACCTAGTGTAGCTCATTATATTAGATTTTATGTAATCATTTGATAGATATTGTTATATAAAATCATGAGAATTGAACATACATAACAGTAAATTTAGATGAAACATAAATATGAATTTTTGTTATGTATCAGGGTATAAAACCAGAAGTAGTACCTTCGTTGTACGATGAAAATTTAGATAGGTCAGCATATAAAAGTTACGGAGAATACATACAAAACTTAGCGAAGTATAAAGTAGAAGAAGTATATAATAGAATGAAAAAAGATCTTGCACCACCTTTTCTAATAATTGGTGCAGATACAATGGTTACAATGGGTAATCTTATTTATGGAAAACCGAAAAACGAATCACAGGCATTTGAAATGTTGTCAAGGTAATGCAATTACCTTAAGGCATAATGTACATTTGTTACATGACTTCTATTTCAGTTTAGCGAATAAAGAGCATACAGTTATCACAGGCGTATGTTTAAAAACTTCAAATACGGAGGTGAATTTTTATGAGTCCACAAAAGTGAAATTTGGGGATTTATCAGAAGAACAAATAAGAACATACATAAAATCAGGGGAATGTTTGTGTGTATAAATTAATTGCTCCTCGTATTTGAATAGTAATTATCTTTTTATTTAAAACCGTTCTGGTTTACAGAGATAAAGCTGGAGCTTACGGTGTACAAGGATACGGTGGCTGTTTAGTTGAAAAAGTTAATGGGGATTTCTATACTGTAATGGGTATGCCATTATACTCATTAACACAACAATTAAACAAAATTTTCTCAAGTTCCTAATATGCATAGTAGTATAGTTAATTTATTACAAATATAAATTTGTATATTTATGTAAATTTGTACCATATAATAAAGAAAAAAGAACTGGACCCATGTAATTTTAATTACTTTCATATTATACATACGTGTATATTAAATTTTGATGAATTCAATTTTTTTAAGCACAAGTACATATAAATTGACTATTTTCATTAAATGTACAACGTTAGTGTTACACACTTTAAATCGCTTGTACAGTGGCGCTTTTTATTTCGCCAATAAGTCGTACGTAGAAGTCGAAGCGAAGTTGGTTGTGTCTTTCTCTTTGACAGTTGGATTTACCGGAACAGAGTTGGTAGTTTTGTGATGAGTATTTTGCCGTTAAGGTAGAATTTAGGAATAGAACAAATTGTTTTCTCATAATTCTCTCGTAAATTTATATAAAAAGATGGAGGATGTATTGGAAGAGGTTGTTTCTTCTGAAGATTTGAAGGTAAATATTCTCGATAAAAAAAGTATAAGAATTGTATTTAAGTCGCATATGTGTTTTGTATAAATGGGTAAAGTGACGCATATGAAATGTTTCTTGGAAACATTTCAAATCTTTTCTTGTAACATAGGATGGTAATTTGAGCCAATAGAGCAGTTTTAGAGGTTAGGTAGCATTGATTTATTTCTTGAATTTGTATTAAAGTTATAAATTTGCCATTTTGGAGTTCTAATTGTTATATTTAAGTATATATGTATTAATAGGATTCTATTCAATGAACTTCAAGTAAACTAAACTAGCAATATAACTTATAGATTACTTGCATCTAAATACGTATACACATTACATATTCATATAGAAGAATTGCATCGCATTATGTTATATATAAAAAATGTTTTACTTATTTGTTCCAGAAATTCGAACGTGTATATCATGAACAATTACGTTCATCGTTTGTAACACAGAAAGCACAGTTTGAATACGCATGGTGTCTTGTCAGGAGTAAATATCCTGCGGATATTCGAAAGGGAATCATTTTATTGGAGGATTTGTATTGCAATCACGATGACAGTAATAAACGAGATTGTCTATATTATTTAGCAATCGGAAATGCTAGAATAAAGGTGAAATTATACAAAATTAATTAAATTTTTCAAAAGTAAACTGAATATCAATTAATTAAACAATTTCTGTTTCTAGGAATATTCAAAAGCTTTAACGTACGTTAGATCATTTCTGCAAGTTGAACCCCAAAACCGACAAGTACAACATTTGGAAACACTGATTAAGAAGAAAATGGAAAAAGGTTTTCTTTTTATAAATTATTATTGGTTTGGGCAAATAAAACTCGTTATTCACACAGGACTAACATTTTTGCAATCTGCATGTATTACGAATCAATCATTTTATTTTCTCTTGTTTTTTCTTGTGGTAGTTGTTTCGTGGGTTGGTAGCTATTATATTTCTTTTAGTTAAAAGCAGCCAGTATTAACTTATATTTTGTGCTTTTATGCAACATGTATGCTATGTAGTGTCATGATACGTAACATTAACAAAAGCAAGGAGTTTGCATGTTACCGAGTATAATATTTTTATATGCGTGCAATAGCGTTCACATTAATTGACAATGATGACAAGTATGATCAAATTAGTTTTTATCTTCTCATATCACGTACACAGCTAACTTATACTTTTTAGTCTATTCTTGTATATATTTCACATGTTTAATAAAAATAGTATTGCGAAAAGACTCTTTTTTAATGCCTTTACATATTTAAACTTTTAGTTCTGCTTAATTTTTTACTACTATCGTTTGTAACATAATTTCAAGTAGCAGATGAAAAGAAATATTAAAGCTGTGACTGTTTGTTAGGTTTAAATATTTATTCTTTTGCAGAGGGTCTTTATGGTATGGCCATTGCAGGAGGGGTTATTATTGGTGTTGCAAGTATTCTGGGCCTCAGCTTTGCGATGGTCAAAAAACACTAATTAATACCTGAAGTAAGAAACTTGTGATTATTGTGTGATGTGGAATAGTTGCTTTGTACATGATATTATTTATAATTTGTTAATCGAAATATCTAAATATTTTACAAAAAAAAAAAAAAAAAACAGAGTAGCCACTTCGTGAAAAATTGAATGAACCAGAATGCAATTTATATATTGTAGAACAGCAAACATACATTTTTACACAAAGGACAAACAACCCAACAATAAATATCGCTTTTGTCGATACGTGTATTTTTTTAGATTTTCTTAAAATTTATTGTAATAATGTATTATAAAATCTTGTGTGTTGTTTTTTTTTTTAATTATAATATATATTTATAGACCTATCTCGTTATTTTACTAAAGGTAAACGACATTCCAAACGTTATGTGTTGTTTGGTCATGTAATTGTACATTATTTTTAAGCGTTAATCCTATTAAATTAAATTAGTCACCAGGGGAACACGCGATGTTTGCTTATACCAAAGTTTCAGTACCTACGTATAAACATAGCTTTTGTACATAATGGTGAAGAAAAAAAAGAACAAACTATTGTATGATGTATTGTTACGTAAATCTTTCGTGAAATAAATGTTTTGTGTTACATCAGACCAACTCCTGTTCATCCATATTCCATATCTAGGAACACGTGTACGATTCACACGGAAAGATAACACTCATGGGATTGTCGATTTTAATCAAAATCTTTTCCAATGAATCTAGAACAAAAATAAATAAACCGAATAATTTTACCAGGACGTATTATTTGCCAAAATATTTGATATTTAATTTTCTTATGTATACATTTCATTTTAGAACGTATGATATCTATGATAGAGAAGGTAAACTAAATAGGTATAGCGAAGGTTTTCAAATTCAAGTGTTATGGACGAACATTCTTCTTTTTAACCTCTTACGGTTCGTTTTAGGGGGGTTCATTGTGAGTATTTATAGAGAAAGAAGAAACAATCAGACTATGTTTAGATGCAACGCGTGTTTCCCATTCGAAAAGAATATGTCAGGAAATAATTCTGAAGGAAGATTGTTTTCGACAATAAAATGAAAAAGCATACTTTTTATATATAGATTTATTGACGACTTTTTAATATCCGTTGATAAAGTTGTTTATGTACAAAATAACGCTGGAATACCCCTATAATAATTATTATATTTAGAGACCTAAGTTATGGCCCAGGGACTCGTTGAAACTCCGCTCGGTTTCGACGAGTCTACGCTTATTTATTTATTTCCTCTTACGCCAAAATACAGAGCGTCGCTACCATTTTTTCCCGAGCGTGCAACGCTTCCCACGGCATCTTTTATCAGCAATATTTACAAAGTTCGATCGCGTCCCGTGCCACACCGTCAAAGGCGGCGAAAAAGAAGAAGCCGCCGGAATCTGGGCCACGCTCGACGTTTTATTATACACTTTATTAAAGATTCGATAAGTGGGAGAAAATTGTATCCGTATAGGCGATGAATGATTTTTATACGAACTATCTCCGAAAGTGTATTTACATACGGAGTCGAGAGGACTCTGGGTCACCGACCACGATGTAACACCGTATCATCGAACTGGATGAGGAAATTAAATCGTTTATTGGTTTATGGGCACACGGGTTATAACAGCAACGTTTCTTACAATGATCTTCCGAAATATATTTTATGGGACGTTTCAATCTTCGTTTCAACATTTTTCTTACACCTTGGAGGTCATCTACCAAGAGGAATTTGAGTGCAGTATAGCTCAATAATTTAAATATACTGTAATGTAAATATTACGTAAATATATTATAATAATTAAAAATTTTAATATATTAAAATGGCGAGACTCAATCGCAAATTTACAACAGAGTAACAATGTTCCTTAGTTAATTTTTTTGAAAAATGTCCTAATTTTTTATAGCATGACCTCCATGGGAGCGAATCAACTCTCTTTGAAGGGTGAAAATCGAATGCAACCTCAACGCGTGTTTTATAACGTTTAAAGTACGTACCGCTAAATTATATTATCGTAACAATACGTGGCACTAATCTTCAAAGATCCGTTGCTTGACTGTTGATCTTTATGATTCATTTTTAATCTAAGTACACAATCGAACGATTACACGGCAGTGCAAGCCATCAGAACAATGTATCGCATTCGAAGAAGTAAAAAAGGTGTGCGTTTACATGACAGAACACATAACCGTAGCAGTCGGATATAATTCATGGGGTTACATCCGTGGCTACTCGAAGGATCGGTCTCCGATTCGAAGACTATGATTATCCTCGAGGATCCAGGACGTCTCGACGTTCGCTTAGCAATAGGAATTAATTACTCGAGTAGAATTAGCAGCTTGAAAATACTTTTAAGCAGTGTATTTTTTTTAAAGGATGCATATTGCTTTCTCAATAAGGCTCCGCTATGCTTTACACGAATTGTACAGTGTTTGCTCTTCACCGGCTGATCCTCCGATCTTAACGCGTTTCCTCACTCGATTTTCAATTGTTCTCGTGAAGCCTCGTGAGTTTTTGAGTCTTGCTGAAGTTGGAAACGATTCAGAGTGGTACGAAGTCGAAGAGGGATGGACATCGAAGTCAGCCGCTACTGCGTGGGTAAACCACCAAGAGTTCTACTTTGTTCTGCCATTATAAATTGCTTTATGTTCCTGTACATTACGACATAAGTCATTACAAATGGGTAAAATTAATTTTCACTTTAATTTTGACTAACATAAATATTAATTTGCCTTAACTTCAAATGTTTAGGAGTATTATCATAGATCATAAAGTTCCGAAATAGTATGTTACAAAAGAACTCTGATCGATTATATTTGGAAGGGATCTGAGACAGTTAGAACTCTTGTTAGCCCGTCGAACGCGAAAGGAACGTGAATAAATCGTGTGCATAGATACGAGTTTGAACGCCGTACGATTTGGCGCATAGTATTATAATTTGACGTATACTCGGTGGCAACGTAGGTTTCCTTTGGCTAAGAATTTCAGAGTCCGCCATTTGCCTTTGGTTTCGGGAAGAACCTAGGGAGATCCTAGGGAGACCCTGAGGAGAACTAACCCTATTTTTAACTAAGGGAAGCCTAGGTTGCAGCCGAGTGTACAAACTTAAGTCGATCTTCGTAAAATTAAAACGATAGGCCTTACAAACTATCGACGTTAAATTTTGTACAATAATTTAATATCTGTGACACGATTAATTTACTCAATCATACTCTTTACATCGCCTCTCCTATCATTTCTCTCTCGTTTCTTTTTTTCTCTCAACGGGTATCGATTGACTAGCAACACGATACGATACGATACGATACGATTCGCTTTAACCCTCCAACAGCGGTGGTTGGGTCAATGGTGACCCAGATGCGTAGATACGAGGCATCGACTGAAATCAGCCATTTAAATTTCTGCAAGAAAATAGCGTTAAATCAGGTAGTACAAGATAAGAGTTTGAAACTAGATTTAAGCTCTATATGGGCCAATGATGACCACGCACCGTTATTCGAGGATTAGTTAATTTATTAATTATCCCTTCTAGTATGTTAATATCGTAAAATATACAATTTTCTTCATCCACTTCTATCTTAACAGAGTATGTAATACTCTTCATTTTTGCATCGACTACCTACGACACACTTGACCCCGACATTTACAATTAATTTAATTACAATCGGACATAGCAAAGTGCCTACGAAGTTCCGACACCTTTCCAATTCTCTCTGTGTTTAAACGCTATCGTCTGAAACTTACGTTACTTAAAAAATAAGATCTGATATATCTAGTGTTTTTTATCCCTATACGCTCATTTTTAAGTTACTCGAATTCGGCCCATTTCGGGCCCGTCAAATGTTAGGATATCAACAGAGTTTCATTATCGGTTTTTGCGCAATTCACCATAAGTAGTATCGATTGCTGGGTCACGAAAGACCCGAAATAATATTCTTCGTACAAACAGTTTACGATATTCAATTTGATTAAATACTTGCTTTGTAACGATAACAAGTATTTCGGTTTGAATATTCTTCAAAATGTTTAGCGTCGATTAAAAAAAATATATCGTTACCATTTGTCAGACGACACAATTTTTTGGCAATTTTTAATAATTTAACCTTTGCTCGTATTTTCATTACGAATAAAAGTTTATATTTTATTCGACGAATATACTTTCCGAGCGTTTCTCGCGAAAGTCGATATATTTCGCATAAATAGATGTTTTAATAATTATTAAATATTGGATTTACATTTTTGGTTAATTTCAACTGCAAATATGGTGCGCAAAGGTTAATATAAACATTTTTATGCGTTCCAATGAACTTTAAATAACAGTATTTTCAATATGTCAACAGAATAGTATGCGATATTGTATACAGTACGGTGTCAATATGATACAATAGTTTGTTTCAAAGGTTGTTTACAAAAATCATGTAAAAAAGATGGCAGTTGACCCTCTGAGTGCTGTGGTTGCACAGGATGTTTCAAATTACCAAATTTTGCCTTTATATAAAAATATGTTTCTCAATAAAATTGTCTGAAAGCAACAGCTTATACGAAAGCAATTGATTTGTACAAAAGCTTATTAATATCGAATTTATTTAGTTATATTAAATAATTAATTCAGGTTAGACTAAACCCGAAATTCAATGTAACCGACAACAAATTAATTCCGTGCATTTTTGTACAAAATAAATATTAAGGAAATTTATTTTCATTTTGGAACACCCTATACATCATTTCGTGAAGATATTTAATAGTAAATTTGATACTTATACAATATATGTTATCAGTGAAAAATTTGATATCAATGTCTTCTAAAGTATTAAAATTTACTTAACTGTAAACTTATGCTGTACAATTTACTTATAAACTGAATATCCTCGTATTAATTCAAATTTCTCAATTTTTGTCGCCATATCACTCAAATAATATCTACGTTTCACACAAAAAGACAAGGTACACTGGTTTTGGCACCGGAATGTCTTCAGCATCGAATTTCTCGGCCATGTGTGTTTTAAATTGAATACGAAAGAGATACTTCTCTTAAATCGAATGCATAATCGTGTAATGCAGTTGGAAAACCTACAAGCATCTCGATCGCCAATGCACATTATTTCACGTTAAAATGCTTCCTCGATGTATTCAGCCGAATACATTCTGGGAAAATTGATTCGATATAGGTTAGATTACCATAACCTTCTTTAATTTAACCCTCTCGACTTGAGCCAACAATTTTGTTACGAACAATGCTGTGGGACTTAAAACTGTATAAATTTTGATTTATAATAATTAATATTGTAATTATTAATTGAAATTGTAATTACGTTTACTTGTACGAAATAACAGTCTAATCACAAATTGCTAAAACGTTCAAATTTGATTTTAATTAAAAAAGAAATTCGAATTTTAATGATTATTTTCTAATCATGGATGTAGATAGAAGAGGAGACATTGGGTTAACTCATTTCGAAAAAAAATTATTTAAAGCAATTTAATACAATTTGAGGCTGTACAAAATTTTTTGAGGATTTATTGAAAAATCCACTAGCTAATATATTTTTGTAATTATATTAATTTACATGTAACGAAATTGTTAGTTTGGCCAAAGGAGTTAAATGTCTGTAAATGAAACAATATCAAATATAAAAAGAATACATAACGCAAACTAAATGCTACTTTAACAAAAAGTTACACGAAATAAATAAGACATTACATAAGAAAAGTAATAGAACTATGAAAGACTCGTCGTTTTAAAAAATTGAAGAAACGTTTATACGTTTATAATAAATCGTTAATTTATAATTAAGCTCGTTTAGTACAAAAATCTCTTGTGAGTCAGAAGAATCTTCCATGGAATAAAATGAAAACTTTACATTCTGTATCAACCTTCGTACAAAAGAATTTATATCGAATGTTTGTCGCGCTTAAATATAATTTTAATACAAGTAACACAGATTGTACGAATTTGAAAAATGTTGCATCTACGTCTACTTAATAAATAAAAATATCAAAATGGACATTTTGAACATCTCATTAGCGAGCGTATCTCTCCTTTAAAGCTTAAAATTATCTATTCCGGAAAATAATTTGCAAAACAGGGGTTCCTGTACTTTTGCGAAACAGGTTTTCAACCGACAGCAAAAGGCTCAAGGGTGAAATTACTTCGCGAACTTTCTTCTTATCGGTGCTCCCTTTGCAAGGGTTTAAACGGCGATAGAATTTCCTCGAGAGGATTCCCCGTGGAATAATTTTAATTTTCTTGCAAAAATTTTGATCTTCTTTACGACATTCTTCGAATGATTTATTAGTTATTTCTACGATCGTACGAGCAATCTATCAGGTGACGTCAAAGTGAAAGCTTGATTCTGAAAAGTTTTATCTCCAACAATTTTCGAGATAACATCAAACAAATCGCACTTCTCGAGATGAGAACCAAATTGTACCCATTAATTCTGTTTACTCGACGAAAAGAACGAAGTTCAATGAAAAATCCAATTTGAGCGAAATTCGCGTTACATGGAAGTAGGCCATTTTTGACATCGAATGCACCATTTCTTATAACATCAATTTGTATGTTTAAACAAATAATTTTTAGTTTGAAAAACAATATATAATTTCTTTGATGATTTTTTGAAATTTTTCTGATAGAGAATTTGCAGATGTGACACTCGAAAAAAAAGGGAAACAAGAGATTAAATTGAACATGTGTTAAAAATGTTAACTTAAAAAAGATTGTGTTATTATATAATTTTAACAATGAAGTGTTATCTTCATTTTGTAGAAAAGAAATGACAGAAAAACATACAATTAATTTTTTGAATCTAAAACTGATAATCAAATGACAGAAAAATGGCGGGAAAGTTGTGAAACCACTGTAAATGTGTCCTAAATTTGATCGTTTCAGGCGCATTTATTGTAATTTCACTAAACTTCATTAGAACTGAAAAACTATTTATTGTAAATGAAAGAATCAAAAGCTGAAAATTATATAAGCCTGATGTTCTGTAGTGAGGTTACGTAAAATGGCGGGAAAGTTGTGAATTGCAAATATATTAGAAAGTAATTACATTTCTACTTCGAACTGACAATTATGTTCGTTAAAATTCAGTAGAAACAAGAATTAAACCAAAATTTATTGCACAGCAAAGAATCGAATTTAATTACACAACTTTAAGGTTATGAAAAATGGCGGGAAATGTGAATCGTTCAAATGCTCCTAACCTAATATTTTCAAGTTTAAACTTACTTATTACAAGTATTTCCCTGTAAAATTGCCATTAAATACTCTAATTCCGTAGATACATTTATAGTACATTAAAACTTTCAATAGTTCAATAAAAAGATTTTCAAGCAAGAAGAATGAGAAGTGGTTTACGAGGTTCTCTCTGATCCAATTTTTCGCAACTTCGCGCAAAGCTACTAGATTCGGTGTCAAAAATGTCCCACATTTCGGTGCTCGATGTTCCGCTTTAAAACACAATCGAGATTTTCCAGAGTGCGAAGAGAAAGGCTGATTTTTAAAATGGAAACTCGAGCAGGGATTTTCTCGTTTTTCCCCTCAAATAACGGGTCGCGAGTAGCTGCTCGAAAGCTATTCCAGAATCGAAGCTCGTCTAGAGGGCTGGGACTTGGAATCCACCTTCTCCACGGTTGAGAACGTCGCACGAAAGAGTCGATTCAAGGTGCAGTCACCTTTCTCGACCGGGGTGACCGTGGAATTCCACAGGGTACACTCGGCCGGAAAAATAATCCTCGCCTCCTTCTCGGACACGTTTCTCGTTCTGGAGTGGCAGATTCGCCAGACTATTGCGTGCTTAGGAAGATAAAGGTTCATTCACATCGTAACTCGAGTTCCAGTGCAGTTCTGGGCAACTGGTACCCACGGGGCAAGTATGTCGAGCGGAATGGTTCCGTCATGAAGAGTTAACACTTTGACTACCATGGCATTGCAATTTTTATCAAATACTGTCTTTGAGGTAATGTTTGGTATTGTTACAATAATTTATTTTTATTAGGATTAGACTGATGGATTATGATTTTGGAGATTAGATTTGTTACAATTTTGTGGAGGATAAAGTTAGGTTAACTCGTGAGAAATGAAGTTTTATTTGATGATAATACTCTTGAAAGGATGTTGACTATATAGAGTTTAGGATAAGTTAGGTTAGATTTGCCAAAAATGAAATATTTAATAATTTTGGAAGGATGGACATTTTAGAAGAGACTGAAGACGTTAGGATAAGTTAGGTTAGGTTTCGTTAAAAATCAAATTTGTAATAATGAGACGTTTTTGAGGATACTGGTACATTTAGGTTAAGTTACGTTTATGCAATGAAGTCAGGTTTTTATTTAATAAAAATATATTTTAAAGTATATTGAGAATTTTGAAGCCAGGATAAGTTTAATGAAGTTATATTAATTCATTGAAAATCAAACTGTTGTTTAGTAATAAAATATTACTCCATTTCGAAATGTAATCAATTGAATTAAAGCTGAAAGTTCATTGTAAACTTCAGTTATTTATCCAAATACCAAAACTTACGCAATTTATGACGGAATTGAATTACAATTCAATTATGAACAGATTTGAATATTTTTATAAATTTTCAAGAATTTCCATAAAAATTTCAACTGCTTGGTTGTCAAAGTGTTAATTCTATCCCAATTTATCCTTTCATCCTTTTTTAAACAAAAAGACTATCAGGTGTTAATTGCTCTCTGATGCATTGGTCAACTGACCCAAGGGCATCGAGTTGCCCGATTTTCATCAGCTCACATTTATATGCTTCGATATAAAAAATAAAATAAATAAAGGATCGCAGTTTGATCGGAACATGTGTCACGGATTGCATCGATATTGATTAATTACTAGCTGCCTCTCGATTCGATAACAATTTTTGCAACACACGGCTTTCTATTTTGCATGTCATGTTTCTTCATTTAAAAAAACAACGAACAGATTTTAAAAATTCAGTACCTCACTAAATGACATCGACCTCGCCATTTTGAGAGACAGATATCGCTGTCGATAGCTGCACAAATGAACGGAACTGTTAATTGTAAATTGTTTAAACAATTCTGAGGTATTCGTGCCTTTTATCCACGTGACATCGATATATTTTGATTTGCGAGTAAGTGTTCAAAGGGTTGTCTTCATCACACGAACCGAGACGTTAATTCTAATTTTAAGTCAGCTAACTGGCCTACCGTTATTATTCTCAAAATAAAAATATACGTATAGTTTATTACACAATTTACATGTTTCATATTTCTATCAATTTTTTCATTTCTCTTTTCAATCTCGCGATTTGAGCGAATACCCGATTTGACACTTTCTATGCCACGGACATTTTTACAAAAATTACTTAATTCTTCGTCTTCGTGTTTCATCCTATAAAGTGTCTCAGAATTACGTAAAAAGAATCGTACAATTCCGTTAAACAAATTTTTCAACATTGAGTCACCCTGTATACAAGGGGTACAAAATCCGAATTGTTCAATGCCACTTTTGAAAACGATTTCATGCGTGCTTCATATTCCAGTCACAAAACACAACAAGGTATTTTTCGTAACATTCGTCAGACTCTTCAAGGTAGAAACGCAATCGACAGTCCTCAACATTTCTGCGCGCATTAAACTGACATTTACAATCTTTCGTCTTCATAATTTCTTCCGAGTTGTTCTTCAGGTTCGTCCTCGTAGATGAAGACTAACTAATCTTGGACCTGTCCATGCTCCGTTGATTTTATTCTCAGAATGCAATGTCCGTTGTCTGATAACTTTGAATAACCAATCAGTCCTTTGTTCACCGCAACGTCTTCATCGATCTTTCCTTTTGTGCGTGCAGGTTCCATCGCACACGTGTCCTCATAATCTCGAACAAGTAATATTTCCTTCAAAACTTGACGTTATCCGATTACCCTGATCGCTGCCATAACGCGGCAATTAAGAACCAGAGTTTGGTGTTCAACAATTCCAAGGTCGGTGCCTGTCTCTGGGACAAGCAAACAAAGCGGTTGGAATGTACCCAGATATCGGTTAATTACTCGTCGATATTGTTCACAGATGTCCGTCGTAATCAGTCTTCAAATTGATTTAGTGTTGCCAGTTCACCAATTCCATCGTTGCCCAGTGCACCTTTCCTAACCAAATAGATCAGTGATGGGCTTTCAAGCACTTCCAATCAGACAACAAACCACTTTGAGTCTTATGGGAATCTTCAAAACGTTGAGAATCCAGAAAGCTTTCACGGAGAGTTCAAATACGGAGAAATACTTTGGTAAAATGGCATCAAGGCGATCACCTTTGGTGTTTTCTTGTTTCTGATAAATGTGGCTATACTTCTGAGGCTATGCCTGCAATCAGACTCTGTCATTTGGAGTAAATGTCTCATAACGATGAAAGAAATAGCCAGAGATGATAAAAAAGAAGCACCGTATGATGCTGTTTCGGAAAGGAGCACCAAATGATGCGACATGTGCTTGGTAATCTAAACCTTAATATTAAGCTTTAAGTCTGCTAAGACCGTGAGGACTTCCTGTTTAGTAAATTGTTGAATCGACGATTATATTATGGTCGAACCCGTGTCAAGACTTCCAGGATTCGAATAAAATTCAAAGTGGTCCGATCTTGTAGTATTAAATACCCATCACCGACGTTTTAGTTATTGGCGGAACAAGGTGTCTGCTTCAACGTTTGACTTCAGTCTTCGATTCAATTCACTCGGCCCTTCAAGGTTCCCTTTGACCCTCACCCTGAACCGTCGCAATCCGTTTACGCTCGATAGGTTCCGATCTCTCCCATCCGCAGTCCATCGTCGTGGGCGTCGTTCTGAACGTCTCGGTGCTTGTCGGACCGATGGGGGACGGATTGTACGCCGGCGTCCCGGTCGCGGTTCTTCTCCCGCCCTGAAGACCTGTCCTTCTCGCGCGGGAAGTGATGGTGCTGATGAGTCGCGTGGCCGTTCATGGGCAGAGTGGGATAGGAGGATTGATGGTGTCTAGAAGGTAGCGGCGGCGGGTGATGGTGTCCTGGGACACCATTCTGCAGGGTCGCCTCGTGCTGCCCTCTGTCCACTGCGCCCTCGTTGTCCCGGTGGGGCGGTGGTTGGGGGGTGCGACGTAGGGAGTGATTCGAGTAGTGTAATCTAACGCCGGTGGAAGAGCAATTATCGCCAGCGATGCTCAGCGGCGTCGA